TGGCCGCCGAGGCCGTCGCCGCGCCCTGGCCGGCCGCGCCGCGCGCCACTTGGAGCCGCTCGTGCCCCGCCGAGCCAGGCGCCCACCAGCCGCTCGCGCGCGAAGTTGAAGCTGGCGGGCCCTGCGCAGCAGCCCGGCACGACACAGAGCCCCCCAGCAAGGTCTCATGAGCGGCCGCAGTAGTGGATCTGACCTGTGGCGCAGCGGTGACGCGGGGTGGAGAAGCGCCGCCCCGTGCAGGGTAGGTTGGGCGGGGCATCCTCTGCTGCTTGGTCGGTCCCACTTCTGGGGGGGGGCGCGCTGATCGCGTCCTTGCGGCTGGCGATCACGTCGAGGTCGGCGGCCCTCTGCAGCGCGCTCGCCACGAGGCGCGACGCCGCCATGGGAACGCCCCGCCGCTGGCGCGGCCAACGTCCGCCAGCGCGCACGGGGCGCGCCCGCCACCCGGAGCGGCGCTGCAGATGGGGCAAACAGCGCCGCGACGGGGCATCGCGCGCGTCAGATGCCGAGCCCGAGATCCTTGGAATTGTCATCCTTTTTGTCAAATGCGAAGCTCTGGCTGGGATGGGCCTCGGGCGGAGCGAGGCCGACCCTGCGGGCGCGATTGACGATGCCTTTGAAGCACTTGTCCGCGATGGGAACTTCGGCGAGGTCGTCGGCAGCGGGGCCCTGCGGTTTGCGCCCCCCCCCCCCCCCCGGCGGCCTCAACCATCTGCGCGGCGATGGTGCTTCAGCTGGCGGCGACCACTCGGGCACAGAACCGCGCTTCCGGAAGAACTAGCGGCTTCTTCGCGCAGCCGGCGTTGCCCCCCGCCCCCTCAACGTCGCGCCGTTTCTGGCGCCTGAACTTTCGGGGAGGAGTAGGAGGTGGACTTGCAGATTCCTCTCCACCGTGAAGGCGATCGGGCGCGCCTCGAAGCGTCCGTCTTTGCCGCTGAGCGCAAGGTGGGCGGGGGATTCTTCAAGACTGGGTCGCGCCCGTGTCGCTCTGCTGCAGCGCCTGCCCCGATTTCCATAGCCGGCGCCTGCCGCGCAACTTGGTAATCGACAAGCCCGCGACTGATCGCGCTCCGCCCAGGCCCCGCAGACGGGGCCTCGAACGCTGTCCGTTCCTCGCGCTCGCGCGCCCGCTCTTGACTCTCGAGGGCGCGATTGCGGAGGCCCCCCAGGTCCACCTGCGCGTTCTTTGCGAGGTCCAGCCTTTGTTGTAGCAAGGAAAGGCGTTTTTTTGCATCTGCTGGTTGTAGGTGCCTGGCTGCATCTATGCGCTCGAAGAATGGCGCGCGGTCTTGGCGTGGAACTGCGGGTGCTTGTCCGTGGTGTTCTCTTCCTCGAACTGCCCGATGTCGTCGAGCTTGTTCTGGCGCGCGGTCTCCGTCGCCTCGATGCGCCCCATGGGGCTGGCCCCCGCCTGGAATGAGACTGCCGTCCTGTCGCAGCCCCAAGCGGGCCTCTGCGCGCCCGCGGGCGGACCGAGGGGGGCGACCAAGTTGCCAGTCGCAACGGGCGCCGCGCGGCCGCGGGGGGCACAGCCCATGATCAGCCGGAACGGCGCGGTTGCCTTCGACCGCGCAGCGCGCGATGCAAAGTTCGGCGCGATCCCCCAGCTGCCGCGACATAATCTGGCCGAGCGGCTCGGCCGCAACTGCCCATATAGGCGGGCACTGCCCCCCGAAACGAACTCGACAGGCGCGCCCCGCGGACGCCCAGCACGCAGTGGCAAACCGCCGCCGCTTCTCCTTGAAAGCTCGCAAGTGGGGCGGGCCCGGAGACGGCGCCGGCCGCGGCTGCGATCGCGCCGCCCCCTATCCGTCGCGGCCGTCGAGGCCATGGCCGGCGATGGGGGCGCCGCGCGAGGGCGTGAAGCTAAGGGCGCGCGTCGTCCACGCAAGCGTCTCGCTGGCCGTCTTGGCCCGCTGCCCCTGCTTCGCTGCGAGCCCTGAGCGTGGTGATAAGTATGCAACTGCGAAGGTCAGGTCTAGTCCCCTCTGCGGATGCGTAGCCCTCGCGCGCGGCTTTGAACGTTCGGGGGGTGGGGGGGGGGGGGGGGGGGGGCTCTTGGGCTCGACGATGTCACGCTCCCGACAGCGCTTGCTGGCCATGGTGGCCACTCCAGCACGACAGTTGGTGAAAGGCCCGCAACGGTAGTCCCATGCATAGATCCTGGGGTGGTGGTGATCGGACCTGGTCGGCTGCGCTGGTGGGTCGCGCTGCCTCCGCGTCGTCGCTGGAAGCATGGGCGCGTCGACGGCGCTGAACTGCGTAGATAATTTCAAACATATCGGCGGCGCCGCCATCGATTGAGGGTTGTATACGCCCCATCGCGGGATCGACGTTCATACCCAGAATATGCGTGTGCGTGTATATATATATATATATATATATATATGAAGGAGGGGGGGGATGGAGAACAACCGCGACGCTCCGTCCGCCGCGGCTCTGGTGCTGCTCGCTGCCGGGGCCGGCCCAGGCGGCTGCGTCTTGCCCCTCCCGCGACAAGTAATGCCCGGGCAAATTCCCGAAGAAAACGGGAACTGGACGAGGGGGGGGGCAACCCGCCGCCGCGGGGCAGCTGCTGACCAACCTGCAACAGGCGAGCTGAATCGCGCAAGTAGTGCCAGGGACAACCCCTATGGCCCATATACAACCAAAAGTCGTAGACCCACAATTAGAAACGCGCGCGCAACCCCGATGGCCAGCCAGCCATTTACATCGCGCACAACAGGCAAGCCAGGCGCAGGCTCAAGTAAAGCGAAAAATCACGATCGCCCCAGGCTGAGGCCCAGAAGCGAAGAGGAGGAGGGGAGAGGCGGAAGAGGGGAGAAAAAAACATGGGATTCGCACTGCTCCAACCTGTGCGACCAGCTAGACGGCAGCAACTATTCAGTGCTATATTGGACGACAGGCTGACCAAGGAAAGCCTCAGCAGTTGATGGACGATCCGATGAGCTTCTGGTGAAGTACTAGTAGAGGTAGCCGTCCCCGAAGAGAACGGAGGCCAATGGGCGCGTGGAGACAGGTACACAAATACCGGCAATGCCGAGGGCCCGTCTGCGCAACTGTCCGCTACGGGGCGCGCACCTTAGTCGGGAGAGTTGGTCGACTGAGTAGACGATGGAGTAGATGGAAGAGTAGATAGTGACACAGTCGGGAGCGGGTGGCGTAGATGGTGGCGCAGTCGGTGGAATAGATGGTGGTGTGGTCGGGGGAATCGGCGCTGATGTAGTCGATGGGGTCGGTAATGTGGCAGACGATGGAATCAATGGTGCGGCAATCGATGGGGCCGGTGATGCTGGAGCCGTCGTATTTCTCGGCCGGCTGGTTGTCGTGGTCGTGCCGCTCAACATCGTCATGGCACTGGTCCCAGGGCCAAACTGTGGACTTGTGGTGGTTGTCGCATCCTTGGAACGGTTGGTCGACACGGCCGTGCCACTCAGCGAGGCCGTGCCGCTGGGACCGAAGCCGGGGCCATTGTCGAAAAATCCGGCCGCGTTCGCAACAGAACACTCCGTCCACGTGCACGTGGCAGCCATAACGCCTGCGCCAATGAAGCCCATGACTTCTGAAGACAAAGTCGTTGGTGTTGGTGTCGGGGCTGGCCTCTGCACCGGGGTGAAGCTGGCGTCGGTGTTGGCTTCTGTGCTGGCGTGGGCGCCGGAATTAGTGGCAGCTGGAGGTCGCGCCGGAACCGCGGTAATAGGCAGGAGGTAGCGGTAGTAGTGGTAGTGGGAGTGGGGTGGAAGTCCTAGTGGTAGCAGTGGTCGTGGGAAGTGGGGTTTCACGTGGTCGTGCCATGGCGGTCGGCGGACCGTCGGTCCCCGCCGCCAACTGGGTGAACGTCACCAAACCCGCGTTGGGGCAGGAGCCAGAGTCGGAGTAGAACGTTGGATCGGAGAAATAGCTGGGATCGGGGTTTCTCATGGTCATGCTGCTGGTGATCGTCCACCACTCCTGGTCGTCATAAGCACTGGGCCAGAATCGTTGCAAGCGCTATTGTGCTGCTGGTGAGGTATCTGCTGGTGGTGTCGATCGTCGTGTTACTGACGTCCGTCGCGTCGGCTCCACTCGTGTTGTTGACCGCGTCGGTCCATGTCACCGATCGTGTTGCAAGATACCATTGTGGTGGTCACTCTCGTGCTGTTGGCTAGGTCGGCCAGCTGTGGAAGACCGTATCCTGAGAGCCCTCGTGCTTCGCACATCGCCGCGCCGTTGGAAACCCATCGCGCCGTTCATCGTCGTGCTGCTGGAGTCCCGTCGTGCCAATCAACGCCGTGCTGCTTGTGATCCCAGTCATCATGCCCAAGCAACAGATTTGCCAATAAGCAGTGCCGCCGAAATCGCTGATGGGCCGGTACAGCCAAATTACCATTGACTCGATGCCTGGCGTATTTCTGAGGCGATGGTATCTGGGATGGCGGTGAAGCCGTGGATGCAGAAATCTTGATCGGGGGGACAGGATTTGTCCGCCGCTTCTTGTCCGTAGAGAAAAAAGACTCTGGCGGAGCGTCGGAGCCAGCGTCGGAGCTGGTCCAGAGCCAGCGGCAGACCCGAGTCTGGGGAATGCCAGCCCATCCTCGTGCACAGTCTTCGCTCCAAGCGGGCTCCTGCGTCCACGCAACCTGTGGTTACCTCCGGCTGGGTAGACTTCACCACACTCTTCGTGCACGTCGGCACTGGCGGATGATATCGCCATGCCATCCCTTTCCCGCGAAAGTGTGTATGCAAAATGTCGTGTGTGTGTGTGTGTCGGGACACAGGGTACGGAAATATGAAGCGAGAAGGCCAGTCACGCCGGCATCACATGAACATGCCCCGAGGATCGGAAGCTGCTCTGCGCGGGATTGCCGGCTGGGCCGCTGAACGGTAGGCATGAGAAGGAGAGGCGATAGAGGAGAAGGAGGAGGAGGAGGAGAAGGAGGAGAAGGAGGAGAAGGAGGACGACTACGACGACGACGACGGCGAAGAATAATAAGAAGACGACGAGCGAGCGACAGGCGCACCATGCGGCTCAGGCGCAGCATCCTCAACAGTCTCAGGACCCTGAGCAAGGTGGCGACCTCAGGGTCCGGCCAGCGAGCCCCCCTCCACTGATCTCCCCGTCCTCCTCCTCCTGCTCCTCCCCGTAGACCTCCTGGCCCTCCTGATTCTGCCCTTCCCGCTCCTTGCCCTCCTCCTCCCCCTGTTTCTCCTCGTCCTCACTCTCCTCCGCTCCCTCTCCTCCGCCTCCTTCTCGTCCTCCTCCTCGTCCTCCTCCTCCTCCTCCTCCTCCTCCTCCTCATCATCATCATCATCATCATCATCATCATCATCATCATCATCATCATCACCATCATCAGCATCATCATCACCACCAACAACATCATCATATCGTGTCATATCGTATCATGTCAGGTCATCATCAGCATCAGCATCAGCATCAGCATCATCAGCATCATCATCACCATCACCATCACCATCACCAGCATCAGCATCAGCATCATGATCAGCACCAGCATCACCATCATAATAATCATCCTCATCATCCTCATCATCCTCATCACCCTCATCATCATCATCATCATCATCATCATCATCCTCATCCTCATCCTCATCCTCATCATCATCCTCATCCTCATCATCGTCATCATCATCCCCCGCTCTCCTGCTCCTCGCATCAGCGCGCCGACGATGTTGCAACCTGCAATGGGGATAAATTACTGCAGGGACCCATGAACAGGTAACCTTGAGGGAGGGTGAATTGCAACATCGCTGATGCGTCCCGAGTTTGCACTGGTCCTCCTCCCCAATCCTCCTCCTCCTCCTCCTCCTCCTCCTCCTCCTCCTCCTATACTCTTCTCCCCCTCCTCTTCCACCCGAACCCCCTTCTCCACCCCTCTTCCTCTCTCCTTCCTCCCTCTTCCCTCCTCCCGGGTGCATCTGGTCCAACTGGTACCAGTCCAGCTGGATCGTGGTGCCCGGAGGCGCAGGCATGGCGTTTCCCCAGCTGGGCTCTGGTCTGGACAAAGGCTAATTCGGCGATCTAATATGCAGCTTCGTGATGCCGCTGGTTCATGTGGCGGACATGTGTGTGGAACGCCGCATCCCAGCTTCGGATATGCGCTCGATCAACGTCTACCTGAATCAGGAGTTTGTATACGTGCGCACGACTCACACCATGGACCTAGCCTTTTTTGACAATGTGGTGTTCATGCCGCTCGGGCAATCAGATGCACTCCTACGGCTTGCGCCGTTCGCCGCCAGCATCACCTTCGACACTTTCGGGTCCAAGGGGAAACTAGCGGCATTGTTCCAGATCCGAGGCAAGGGCTCTGACACCGATAAGAGGCAGCGCTGGCTAGATTGGTCTGGTTCCATTGAATTCGTTACTCAGCTGTACGGGCTGCTCGAGCTATAAGCAGTCCGACAATATACGTAGCTTGGCACTGTCTTCGTTGAGGGGGGCTCCATGGGCCCCGAGCTCACACATAGGCGTCAGGCTGCGGCGGCCGAATGGAGCAAGCTTCACAGTATCAATCGGGACGAGCACCTCGAGCGCAGCATCGGTCTTATTCTCATCGACTCTCTAATGTGCTCTGGTCGCTTGTATCAAGCGGGGACACGGCCGACGCTCACGTTTGCTCGAATAGCCGAGCTCGCAGATGACATTGCCAGGGTGTGCAGAGCAGTGGGACAGTGCCCGTGCATGGACAAAACAGCTTTGACCTCGGTCCAAGTCCGGGCCATGGCAGAAAGGAAAAGCTTACAGGCTATGCTACACGCCCATTGCCTTAGGATATTTGGCAAGCTATTGCATCATGGCCCTACTCACCTACTCGCTCTAGTGGGCGATTACGCAGCGCGATGCGAAGCTTCTTAGTACCAGCAGGTACTCGATGACTTACGTTGGCTACGCCAACAAGTTCCGAAGTTGCAGACCTTTCCCCAGGCTCGGGAGGATCTCTACCCATGGGGAACCTACATTCGCAGCTCTGCGGTTCGGTGGAAGGCTACCCTCAAGCGCGCCTGCAGGCTCATATAGCTCACCATACCAGGAACACCCTCGCAGCAATTGCTGAAATCGATGCTTTGCAGGTGATGTACGAAACAGGGGTCCCTAAGCCGATATACGTTCCTGATCACCCCCGCCGAGCTCAGGATCAAGAGGTTATGCCGTCCTACAGGTGTATGCGGTGCCCACAGAGCTTTCCCCACGGTCAAGGGAGTGAAACAACACACAGCTCGAGATCGTCTCTCTCGTGCACAGGGTTCGGTCCCACCTTGGAGACACTCGCAAGCGCGTGTGCTGCATGGCCACGCTCGCCGCGCGGAAGCCGCTGCTGGGAGATCTTGCAGTCTCATCGCCCGGGTGCGCACTGGCCATGCTCAGTGCTCCGTCGGGCTGCTCAGCAGAGCAGAGAGAGATTCTCAACACCGAGGCCGCCCACGCAGCAGCCAAGCAGCGCGCGGGGGGTCTGGGACGCTGGCGCCCCCAGGCCCCAGCTCTGCAGCTCCGTGGTCGTGCCAGGGCCCAGGCGGGTTGCAGGACGCTCTCGTTCGTGCTGACGGTTGCTCGGCTGACCGACTCTGCGGCCCGCGAGGTTCTGGTTCTTTCTGATCGGGCCTTCTTCCCCGAGGAGGCGGCCGCTCAATTTTTGGCGCTATCCGGGGTCGGGTCCCTGAGCCCGCTGGGGCTGAGCCTGAGGACATGTCTTGGCCATTCAAGCCGCAAGATTTCCAAAACGTGCCGGCCGACCCTCTCCCCGTGCAAAATATGCCGCCCGCAATTTGTTGAGCTCAGCCTGTTTTGTGGGAAACGCAGGTCGGGGAATGTACAGTGGCACCTTTCGTCGCCCCACCTCATGTTCTATGTTTGATCTATATATATATATATATATATATCTATATATGTATATATGCATATACTGATTGTCTCTGGACATCGCGATTGACGCGGTCAAGGGGGATCTCGTTGTTTTCTCCATAATCAAATTTTGGATAGGTCACATCCGAGATCGGGGCATACTCAATGCAGGGGTGGGGCCCTTCTGAGACGTGAAGTGCGGCGCAGTGGCAAGAGGGGTGCCCCCCTCCTCTGAGGATGGTCCAAGAAGTTTTTTGGGGGTCCCAGGATGCAGGCCCAGGCATCAGGAGCAGCTTCGCATCGGGGGCCAATTCTTGCCGGCGCTCGTCTTGATGTGCTGTGTGGGCACTGGCGCGCAGGGACCGGATGGTGGATGGAGCACCCCATCCCTGCTTCCTGGGCCCCCTGAACCCTCAGCCCCCACCTCATGGAGGTGGCCACCTCTCGTAGCTCGAGTTTCTTCTCCCGTGGCTACTGCCACGACATTCGATCAGTCGAGGGGCCCAGGGGCACACAGATAAATACACAACTCCCAGGATTCCCCATATGGTTCGTATTTTTGTTCCCGGGCTTTCGTCTTCCCCCGCACTTCCCACATCTTCCAGGGGATCGACGATTACTTGTGCCTGCGTGTTTTTCCCCTCCTGAAAAAATTATCCTGGCGAAGGACCCAACCAGATGCAGTTGCGAGTACCGCAATTGTGAATCTCTTTTTCGATGGCGCTCCCTATGGGGCCACGAACCGTATGGGGGGTGTGCCGAAATCTGTGCGGTGGGCGCATGGGAGCGCAGCCACTGGGGCCTTCGCTGGAGCTCCCTATGGGGCCACGAAACGTGTGAGGGGTGTGCCGAAATGGGTGCGGTGGGCGCATGGGAGCGCAGCCACTGGGGCCTTCGCTGGAGCTCCCCATGGGACCACGAAACGTGTGATGGGTGTGCCGAAATGGGTGCGGTGGGCGCATGGGAGCGCAGCCACTGGGGCCTTCGCTGGAGCTCCCTATGGGGCCACGAAACGTGTGAGGGGTGTGCCCGGCTGGAGCTCCCTATGGGACGAAATGGGTGCGGCGGGCGCATGGGAGCGCAGCCACTGGGGCCTTCGGTGGAGCTCCCTATGGGGCCACGAAACGTGTGAGGGGTGTGCCGAAATCTGTGCGGTGGGCGCATGGGAGCGCAGCCACTGGGGCCTTCGCTGGAGCTCCCTATGGGGCCACGAAACGTGTGAGGGGTGTGCCGAAATGGGTGCGGTGGGCGCATGGGAGCGCAGCCACTGGGGCCTTCGCTGGAGCTCCCTATGGGGCCACGAAACGTGTGAGGGGTGTGCCGAAAGCGCATGTGGGGCGCTCCCTATGGGGGCTGGAAATGGGCGGGAGCGCAGCCACTGGGCCTTCGCTGGAGCTCCCTATGGGGCCACGAAACGTGTGAGGGGTGTGCCGAAATGGGTGCGGTGGGCGCATGGGAGCGCAGCCACTGGGGCCTTCGCTGGAGCTCCCTATGGGGCCACGAAACGTGTGAGGGGTGTGCAAGAATGGGTGCGGTGGGCGCATGGGAGCGCAGCCACTGGGGCCTTCGGTGGAGCTCCCTATGGGGCCACGAAACGTGTGAGGGGTGTGCCGAAATGGGTGCGGTGGGCGCATGGGAGCGCAGCCACTGGGGCCTTCGGTGGAGCTCCCTATGGGGCCACGAAACGTGTGAGGGGTGTGCCGAAATGGGTGCGGTGGGCGCATGGGAGCGCAGCCACTGGGGCCTTCGCTGGAGCTCCCTATGGGGCCACGAAACGTGTGAGGGGTGTGCCGAAATGGGTGCGGTGGGCGCATGGGAGCGCAGCCACTGGGGCCTTCGGTGGAGCTCCCTATGGGGCCACGAAACGTGTGAGGGGTGTGCCGAAATCTGTGCGGTGGGCGCATGGGAGCGCAGCCACTGGGGCCTTCGCTGGAGCTCCCTATGATCGTCATGGATGATGATGATGATGATGATGATGATGATGATGATGATGATGATGATGATGATGATGATGATGATGATGATGATGATGATGGCAGGAGGGAGGGGGCAGCGGGAGGAGGAGGAGTGAACGCGGGGCGCTGTCTCTTCAAAACGAGGACCCAACACCACAGGATGGTTGGGAAAAACAGGCCAGAGGCAATTGATATGACCTCGATCGGCCGAGCGCCGACGCGCATAACAGGTGTCAGAATTGCCCAGGCTCCCCGAGGCCCTGAACCCCCGGGGGTGGCAACTGCTCTCACGCGAAGGGGTTACATCGTGCTCGTTTAGACCATCGGTGTGACGGTCCCTGGCACACTCAATCTGCGAAAACTCATTCCAGCCACTCGCGCCAGGCCATAGCAGATGCCAGCTTGGACAGCGCTGTGCGAATAGTTGCCCCTGCTGAGGGGCCGAGCTGAGGAGGCCGGCTTCGCTATCGAATTCGACCGTGCTGGCATTACAGACGGTCTCGTGCAATCATTTGCGCCCTGGACCCCAGCATGTGATGATGAGTTCGCCCTTGCCCCCGATTCTGCGGGTGGCCCCAAGCGATCTTGCCGTCGGGCTGACCCTGAACCGCATAGACTCTTTCCCGAGTTTCACGGGGACGGAGCTCTCCTGAGCACCCGTCCCGGGGCCCGTGGACTCCGATTGGACTGCCCCCTCCTCCAGCCCGTCCCACGGGGCCGAGCAGTGGGCTGCCTCTCCTCCCCTCCCCCCGCCCTCCCCGCCCCCTCGCCCTCCCCGCCCCCTCGCCCTCCAGCTGCCCCAGGAGCGGGCAGGCGCGGATCGCCGCGACCCGCGCCGAGGTCAGGCTCCCCCGGCGCGGCGCGCGCCCAGGCGCGCGCAGGCGCGAGGAGGGCGCCCGGTCCGCGCGCCGTGGGCGGCCCCGGGTGGCCACCTCCGCAGCACGGGCCTCTTCGACGAGGCCTGGGAGGCGCGCCCCCCTCTCCCTGTCCGGTGCCTCTGCTGCGGGCTTCCCCCACGCCGCGCCGTTCTCCCGAAGACGGAGCCTTCCAGTCAAGCAGGGGAGCACCACGTGTCGCGTCCGCCGCGTCCGACGACGACCTCCCCGTTACTCCTCCGTCCCCTTCCTCCTCCTCCTCCTCTTCTCCCTGTTCCTCCGCCTCCCTTCTCTCTCCTCCCTCCTCTCTCATCCCTCCTCTCATCTCCCTCCGCTCTCCTCTCCTCTTCCACCTCTTCATCCTCCTCTCCCCATATCTGGCAACCGATGTCTGCTAGGATCTGGGTCCGGGCTGGGCCTGCGTTACTCGCGGGCGAAGGGTGGGGTGGGGGGCGGGGGTGGGGGGGGGGGGGGGGGGGGGGGGCGGGGGTGGGGGGGGGCGCAGCCGCAGCGACGCAGCGCCTCCTCGTGGCATCGCAGCGGCGCGGCGCAGAAGCTTCCAGAGGTCTGCGCGGACTTCTCTGATCGCCGCTGGACTCCCCCCTGGCGCGCGGAGCCCGCCAGGTGCGGCGCTCGAGGCCGGCGCAGATGCAGCACCTCCGCGCTGACCTTTAGACATGTGCTTGCAGATTGGTGCCTTCGAGCTGCAGCGCAGCGTCTCCGCGTTGTAGCTGCAACGTCCTCGTGCCGTATAGTGAAACGAAGCGAACATGAGGACATATTCGGATGAGGACGAATCGGGAATCTCTGAGAGCGGGAGCGTCTGGACTCTGAAGGATGTCTCGGGCGCCGCGGCCGTTCCAGAGTGCCCCGGCCACGCTGTGGGAGCGTTCAGGAACGCTCTGGAACGATTCATCCTCAACCTAGGCCTGCCTGATGATGCAAAGCACCGCACCGTGTAGTCCACTGCTGCACCTGTAGCGTCTCGGCGTTGCGACGCAACGGCGCAAGGTCTCTGGGCTGTCACGCAGCGCAACGTCTCAGCGATGCAGAAATCCCCTCTCCTGCAGCACCCTCTCTCCCGCCGTCTTGGTGGCGGCGGGTGACCCCTTCCCGATCTCATCCTCCTGCCCTCTGGAGAGACTACTGCTGCTCACTACCTTCCAAGGCGAGGCGACGCTTCAGGCCGCCGCCGCCGCCGGACAGAGCGCGCAACGGCTCGGCACTACGCCTGGAACACGTCTGGCGGATGGTCGGGAACTGCCGACACGCACCTCTGCTTGAAGACGTGCCGCGCTCACAGCACGTGGGCCTCGTTCTACCCTTGCATTCGGTGTGCTGGGGAGGGCTCACGCATGCAGTAGCATATACAAGCGCTGTCAAGCCAAGCAGCAGAGAAGCTCGAGCCCCAGACGCCCAAGAACTCTGCCGGGAACCTCCTGCCGAAGATCTTGCCATCGGGCCACCCACTCGCCCGGAGAGCCCCAACATCGCATCGATATCGGCAAAGGCTGTAATTTGTTAAAGAGCCGAGGCGAAGGGGAACAGAGCCTGTTGCGCAGAGTCCCACGTTCGGTGTTCGGTGCAGCTTGACCCTGGTGGGGGGGGCGACCCTCTCGAAGCGGCAGGGCGGGAGGTGTGCATGGATTCTCCTCCACCTCGCAGCCAGCCAAAAGACTGTATCTGACTGGTTCTCCCTAGACAACCAACCACGAATTACATCATTAACACCACTGCCTCCCAGGCAAGATGCCTGAATGTGACGAGCGAGAACATCAGAGCACACGCGTGTTTCTAGGCCAACGATGGCTGCCAAATGCTCGATAGACGTAAAACGGCCCACATGACTCAAGAACAACGCAAATACGATGGTCAAACTTCGGCTCACCGTCAACGCACCATTGGCCGATGACCCTCGGGAAGGGGGAAGTGAAGCCGGTGGTACAATGCTCAAAAAGGCGAAAGTTCAATGACCTAGACCACGCCGACATGTGGGGCCGAATGCACCAACACAAATACTGCTGCCAATATAAGGTCGACTCCTCTCGTCCGTGATCCCCTCGACACCCTCCCTCGTCCCCATCCCCTCCTCTCTGGTCATATCGCCTCCCCCTCTTTTCTCTCCGTAGATTGATTGCCTTCATGTTCACCTGTCTGCGTCCACGGAGCCGCGTCCACTCATAGCTCCCCAGCCTCATCACAGAAAAAACACCGCACACTGAGCTGCAGACCTTATGGTACGCGTGATGATGGCCAGTTCCCCCTTCAGAGGCAACCTCGCGCATAATAAAGACGAGCCAACCAGGGCCTGTGGCCAACAGGTCTATCCAGAACCATCCGGCCTTGCCGTTCTCGCTGAAGGGGACCGCACAGTACCTGTGCATGAGAAAAGCGCGGCGTGGCAACGAGACGACACAAACACACACAACTGCGCGCACACGGCGCGGAGTCGGACCAGGGAACACAACAACAAGTACGGTCAGAAGACAGTGGTCAACGTGTCGCGGCGGCGGCCCCTGCGACACGATATTCTTTGCAGGCTGGCAGCGTGTCACTCTGCCTCGCGGGACGGGGGGCTGGGAAGATCGGGGACGTTGACGTCTGGGGGTCGGGCCGCGCTCAGCGTGTCTTGCCGAAGCATGGTGGGCCACAATCCGCGGCGCGACAAGCTAAGGAAACACTCCTGACCGCACTAGTTCATCAAGACGCTTGACACGAACAATGAGCACCGCAAGAAGCACGGATGCTGGACGACAGCAAAACTTGCAATATAGAGCACGTGTGTCAACAGGGCAGAGAAGGCGGAAGTTGCAGCAGGTTGGGGAGGGATAAAAGAACAAAGCTGGGGGAAGGTGTGACATATTTGCCAAACGACCCTGGACTTCAGACATTCGAGCAGTGTCCTTACTCTGGCCTCCTTGCTCAAAGCATCCCATCTCTAGGATCTTGCTGGGGGAAATCCCCCTCGCGAAATCATGCGACGTGACTGAGTAGTTCCGTAACTTAGAAATGAGAGAAAACATAGATACGCGCGCGCTAGGTGAGATGCGCGCGAACCGCTACCCTTCGCGCCGTGGCCGCCAAGTTCTCGCAAGTTACCTGAACCAAACGCGCGGAAACGCGCGCGCAGGCTCGCTCAAAAGAGAGGCAGAGGGGAGCGAAAATAACGACTCCCCCCGAGGCGGGCCCCTGAGCTGCGAACGCCCCTGCGCGCCAGCCTTCCGCGCGCCTCGCCAAGGCGCGCCAGCCCCAGTGAGGATACACGGCGCAGCCCGTCCAAGTGGCTCCCAATCCCGCCGCAGACGCGGGGGCTCGGCTGCTCGACGAAGCCTCCAGGTGATTCGACAGGCCCGCGGGGCACCTGGCGCCGTTCGCTCAGCCGGCATCGTCCTCCCCGCGGCGGCCGCGGGGAGGACGATGCCGGCTGAGCGAACGGCGTCGGAGGTGGGCCGCGGCGCGGCCCACCTCCGACGCCGTTCACTTGGGGCCCCCTGCCAACCGGAATCCCGGCGCCAGCTACGGGTCACCCTCCGCGTCCGTGCCCCAGTCGCATCGCGGCCTCCTTCATCGCGGTCCTCCCTTGGGCGACCACTGGCCCAGCGACCAGAGCTCTCGTCGCCCCGCCAGGGCGTCGGCCGCAGCTGGGACGTCCTCCTCCTTCGCTTCTCCGCGAGATGCTGCGCGCATTGACGTTTCTTGTCTTTCCAGTTCCCTTGTTAGCCCACATGCTCGCGCGATCGTCGTCGGGGCGGCGCGGGCCGCGCCTCCAAGAACAACTGCGCTTTCCAATCCAGGTTTGCGCTTGCCCTCGGCGTCAGATCTCCTCCAACCGCGATCTTGGCGACGGTTGGGCCGCCCAGGGTTGCGGACCCCCCCCCGTCATCGTCCTCATCTTCGCCATCTTGCCTGGGCCTGGGCCGCCACCCGCCTCGTCTGAGCCCGCGGCAGCGTGCCGCGGGCAATGTGATCCGCGGGGACAGCGCCGGCACCTCCAGCGCCATCCCCCGCGCCCGTCGCCGCAGCGACGTGAGGAGGGCCGCCCGTCGCCGCCGCTGCACCGGCGGGCCCGCCTGGCTCAGCCGGCGCCGCTACGACATCTGAGAGAGCGCGCCCACAGCGCCGGAGCAAAGGGGGGGGGGCTCCCCCCTTAGCTACCCCCCCCCCCCTCCCTTCCACCTCCCCTGCTTCAAGCTACCCCACCCCCCCTCCCCCCCTTTTTCGCCTCCCCCCTGAAGCTACCCCCCCCCCTCCCCCCTTTCGCCACTCCGAAGCTACCCCCCCCCCTCCCCCCCGAAGGGAGGGGGTGCTTAGCCCCCCCTGCTCTGCCGGAAGCTCCCCCCCCTCCTCCCTTTGGTTCCAAAGGGGGGGGCTTAGCAGCCCCCCCCCCCTTCCCTCTTTCGGCATCCGGGAAAACCCCCCCCCTCCTTTGACCCCCTCTGCTGGAAGCCCCCCCCCCCTTCCCTCCATCCATGTTTCCCCCCCCCGCCGAAAGCTCCCCTCCCCTCCCCCCCTTTCCAAAAGGGGAGGAGCAGCTTAGCTACCAGCTACCACCCCCCTTCCTCGAACTCCCCCTGCCGGACGATCCTCCCCCGTCGCCGTCGTCGTTGCCGTCGCCGTCGCCGTCGCCGTCATTGTCGCCGTCTTCGCATGACCTCGTCGTGGTCGTCACGACGAGGACGAGGTCATACGAAGACGGACGGCGACGGATGACAGACGACGCACGACCGACGACCGACGACGACGACGACAACGACCCAGGGTCAGAGAAAACGAAGAAACGAAGCAAGGCCCGAGAAAACGAAACCACGGCCCAGGGACCGAGAAAACAAGAAAACGAATAAACGAACCAGGGTCCGAAAAAACGAACCAGGGTCAGAGAAAACGAGACCACGACCCAGGGGCTAAGAAAACAAGTACACGAACCAAGGTCCGAGAAAACGGGACCACGACCCAGGGGCCGACAAAACGAGAAAACGAGAAACGAACCAAGGCCCGAGAAAACGAAACCACGACCCAGGGGCCGGGAAACGAGACAACGATAAAACGAACCCAAGACCGAGAAAACGAGACCACGACCCAGGGGCCGAGAAAACAAGAAAACAAACCAGAACCATGGACACCGACACAAAAACCCAGAAGCCGAGACAACGAGAAAACGAAACCATGAACCAGGGTCCGAGAAAACGAGACCACGACCCAGGGGCCGGGAACACGAGAAACGAGACAATTAACCAAGGTCCGAGCAAACGAGACCACGACCCATGCCGAGAAAACGCGATCATCAGCCCGAGAAAACGACAACGCGACCCAGGGGCCGAGAAAACGCGAACATCGGTCAGAGAAAACGAAACCACGACCCAGGGGCGGAGAAAACTAACCAAAGAGAAGACGAGGAAACAAACCAGCGTCCGAGAAAACGGGACCACGACCCCGGGGCCGAGAAAACGATAAAACGAGACAACGAACCAGGGTCAGAGAAAACAGCACCACGACCCATGGGCCGAGAAAACAAGAAACGACAACACGAACCAGGGTCAGAGAAAACAAAACCACGATCCAGGGCAGAGAAAACGAAAAAACGAACCAGGGTCAGAGAAAACAAAACCACGATCCAGGGGCAGAGGAAACGAGAAAACGAGAAAACAAATCATAGTCCGAGAAAGCAAAACCACGACCCAGGGGCAAAGAAAACGAGAAAACGAACCCAAGACCGAGAAAACGAGACCACGACCCAGGGGCAGAGAAAACGAGACGGGATCGGAGGAAAAATGAGACCACGACCCAGGGGCAGAGAAAACAAGAACACGAGGAAACGAACCAGGGTCCGAGAAAACGAGACCACGACCCAGGGGACGATAAACTAAGACAACAAGAAAACGAATCAGCGTCAAAGAAAACGAGACCACAACCCAGGGGCCGAGAAAACGAGAAAACAAAACAAAGAACCAACGCCCGAGAAAACGAAACAAAAACCCAAGGGCCGAACGAGAAATCGAGAAAACGAACCCGGGCACGAGAAACCAAGACCACGACCCAAAGGCTGAGAAAACCAGAAAACTTAAAACGAACACGTGTCCGAGAAAACGAGACTACGACCCTGGGGGCGAGAAAACGAGAGAACGATAAAACAAACCAGCGTCCGAGAAAACGAGACCATGACCCCGGGGCCGAGAAAACGAGAAAACGAACCAGGCCCCGAGAAAACAATACCACACGATCCAGGGGCCGAGAAACGGAGAACACGAGAAACCGAGCCAGCGTCAGAGAAACCGGGACCACGACCCACGTGCCGAGAACACGAACAAACGAGACAACTAACCAGGGTCCGAGGAAAAACGAGACCACGACCCAGGGGCCGAGAAAACAAGAAAACGAGACCACGAACCAGAACCCGAGAAAACGACACAAAAACCCAAAAGCCGAGAAAACGAGACAACGAACCAGGGTCCGAGAAAACGAGACCACGACCCAGGGGCCGAGAACACGAGAAAACGAACCAAAGTCCGAGCAAACGAGACCACGACCCAAGGGCACAGAAAACGCGAAAACGAACCAGGGTCTGAGAAAACACGACCACGACCCATGGGCCGAGAAGACGAGAAAACGATACAAAAGGAATCAGGGTCCACCACGACCCAAGGGCCGACAAAACGAGAAAACGAGAAAACGAACCAGGGCCCGAGAAAACGAAACCACGACCCAGGGGCCGAGAAAACAAAACACGAGCAAACGAACCAGGCGCCGAGAAAACGAGACCGCGACCCAAGGGCAGAGGAAACGAGAAAACGCGAAAACGACCCACGACCCAGGGGCCGAGGAAACGAGAAAGCGAGAAATTGAACCAGGGTCCGACGAAACCATCACCCAAGGGCCGAGATCACCAGTAAATGCTTGGTTCAAGAAAACGAGACCACGACCCAGGAGTCGAGAAAACGAGGAAACGAGAAAACGAAGCAAGGTCGGAGAAAACGAGATCACGATCCAGGGGCCGAGAAAACGAAAAACGAGAACACAAACCAGGGTCCGAGAAAACGAGACCGCGACCCAGGGGCCGAAAGGACGAGAAAACAAGAAAACGAGCCAAGGCCCGAGAAAACGAGAAAACGATAAAAGGAATCAGGGCCCGAGAAAACGTGACTACGAACCAGGGGCCGAGAAAACAAGAAAACAAGAAAACGAGCCAAGGGCCGACGTTACTCTTCAATGCGTTCTCTAGCGCTGCGGTGCGCAACTATCTGCAGGGAATCAACTATTCTGCCATAGCCCCGGAAGGCAGGGGGGGTAGCTTCGGACCCCCCCCGCCTATGCAAAGGAGGGCGGACGGGGGTAGCTTGAAGCCGCCCGCCCCCTCTGCCCATACCAAAAAAGGAAGGGGG